TACCCACGATCAAAAGGCCCAGGAGGAAGCCCCCACCATCATTTCGGGAGAGATCGCAGGCATGAGGCCGGTGAGTCGCTGCTGCAGCCATGATCAGTGCACGGCTGAGAATCCAAAGAGTTACCTGAAAAAACTAGGGTGGAGGCAAATGTCGAATCCCCTTGTACGTTCTTGGGCTGCATTCGTGATGTTGGGGCTTGTCCACACGTGACATGCTAACACCGCCACTTGCGGCTGTTTTTTTTTTCGCCTGTACTGTACGGCCAAGTATTGCTGTAGATTAGCTCGTTCACGTTGACACGACGCAAGGGCTGCTGCTGCTTGCCAATGGTGAGCTTGGGGCGATGTTATAACAGTGACCAAACTTTTTTTGGGTCGCCTTTTGTGTAGGTCCTTGGGTACCTCGCATGATATGTCGGCCATTGACGTTGCGAGTTGCTCGAAAGGTTGTGACCAATCACCCTGTGAAAGGGAGGGACTGCGGTGGTTTCCGACCGACCTCTCTCGTGTCTACAGTTTCGCCGGGAGTACTAGGTTTAACCAACAGCTGAGATGTTGGTGAAGGAATGAATCCGCTCGTCCCTAGATTGTCCAGCGCGTGCCTGCGTGCGTAGGTTCTTGAAACGGTGACTAAAGAAAAAGCGGCTTGTGAACCGGCCGCGCTTACGGCTCGGGGCCGTCGCTCTTGTTCTCCCCCGTCAAAAACATCAACCTGCTGCGCGTTCTTGTTCATCGTTCGCAATGACTCTGCCCCGCCCGCTCCAGGGCCGACACGGCATCCGCGTGCACGTTTTTGGGGACTTTTCCGAGGGTTTGGTAAGTGCGGGAGGCATCTTCAACCCGTTCAGCAAGAATCACGGCGCTCCGGACGACGAGGACCGAATGGTGGGGGACTTGGGTGAGTTGCCTGCTGTAGTAGGTGCTTGTCTGCATGGACAGGTGGGCTGTACGAAAAGAAGCTCAAGTTTAAGCGTTGGCTCGTTCTTCTTGCCTGGCAAGCGACCAGAGCGGCTGGGGGCCTGAGCTTGCTGCAACAGAAGAAAGGGGGAAATGTGGAGGGGAGTAGGAGTAGGAAGAGGAATCCCGATGTGGAGGATGCCCATGTGCTGACGTAGCTGGAGAAGTTGATGAATTGAACATGGATGTATTTTTGGCAGTAGGGTTCTTAAAGGGTACAGGACGAAGTCAAGCAAAAATTGAGCAACCCCCGGGCGCTCTTTCCACGAACCGAGCAATAAACAATAAACGCCCCAAGCGCCCTCAATCATCTCGCTTCGTCTCGTCTCCTTTCCCTCACCCGCCCGCTGGGTACCGCACTCACACACCAAAAACGACGACGATGACATCAACAACAACGCTTTTCCGCTCTGTGTGCCTGCCTGCCCGCCATGCCACACAGGGAACATAGACGCGGACGATGCTGGCGTGTGCAAGGTGCACTTGGAAGACCGAATGGTGAGGCTTATCGGGCCCCACTCTATCATCGGGCGGTCTATCATCATCACTGCAGGGGAAGATGACCTTGGCCGGGTGAGAGCGGGGGGAGCTATTACGTCGGAAACAGAGGGAGATACGTACCAACTATCATGTTGGTCGTGTTGCGGTGTTGCCAGTAGGCGTTCGCATCCCGAAGACTACTTTGTCGGGACGGATGACGTCGGATTTTCCGCCGGCCATGTTGGGTGTCGGCGCCATGTGGCTCTTCGTTGCAGACCATGAATGTGACGCGGGCCACCTGTACGCTTGTTCCCAGGTTTGGGATAACACGCTCCGGTCGGTTCTCCGCAGGTCATCCGGTGCACTGAAAGCGGTTGCGTGTTGGCTTCGGCTACCAATGTGTCGTTGGATCTTCTCCACCCCTGTTGCTTTTGCTCCCGTGCAGAAAGCACGATATTTTCGCGTGTTCGGCGATGATAAACACGGAAAAGCCTCCGATGGCCAATGCGAAGGCCTAACTGCTGTAACGCTCCTCGATGCTGAGGGGGGCCACCGCTGTTTCTCACCAAGCCCCCCGCGCGCGCCCTGACTCACAACTGCCGCTTGTCCCCGCCCGCTTGCTTTTTTGCTTCTCAAGGGTGGCCACGAGTTGTCTCTCACAACGGGTAACGCGGGAGCCAGGGTGTGCGGCGGCGTGGTGGGCATTGCGGCCTCCAAGTAGACAGACAAGGATGGAAGAAGCGAAAGGAATGCCTCACAAGTTTTTCATATTTGG